ATACAGCGTTCAAATGTCTCTGCTCTCGAGCAAAATGATTTAGAGCCAATGGGTCTATGTCATTGTTGATAATCGTTATAAAGTACTATAAAAATATAAACGCTAAGGGGAAATTACCTGGTAATTCTTTTATATCGAGTGTTTCTGCATCTTTTTTTCCGGTGTGGTAGAACACTCAGTCTCGAGTAAAAAGCTATTTTCGAGCACATTGGGAGATAGTTAGCATTAATGAAGAGACCTGCTGCCGTCAACTACTTCCTATCGATCATTAAAAGGCGCAAGTATTGAACGCCATAAGAGAAGTTTCGAGAATGGCGTCACCAATTAACGTGAGTGCGACGCTGAAACGATAACGAAATCCATTAATTAAATTAGCGCTTTTGTTATTTCAGTCGTACCCGGCAGCAATATTGGTCCCATCTGCATCTATTGTCAAAATTTTACAGATTATTTAAGAGACATTAACGCAGTGTGTTCACGAAAGTCGTGGGCATTATCGTGCAAAATATATTCCCCCATGTTGACAGTTATAAATAAAAAAGATTGCATGTTATGAAAAAAGAAAGAGGATCCCTGGCAAAATCGATATATGCCTGTGAATTTTGGAGCGTTAAAGCCAGCCCGTCAACAGAGGAAATAAAAACAAGAGAAAGTTTGACCGTCACACTAGACCAACTGGTGCGACAGGGCAGACAGACCATTGACGTTTGAAAGGGATGGTCACGAAATCATGATGGGGGAGCTGGGGAGGAGGCAGAAGAGCAACGGCTCCCCGCGTTGGAGGGCGATAATGAACTCCGAGCGGCTGTGCTTGCGGTCGTGGATGTGCGAGCAGGGCAGGAGTCAGTCAACTGTGAGCGTAGGCGCTTGTGATGGCGGTTGATACTGCGCGCATTGGTGTACCAAGCCCTGAGAAATTCTCTCGCTAGTTTTGTGTTGGCCATGACGACGACCTCGGTGTCTTCTCAACTGAATCGGTAGTTCCTATTCAGCGCATAGGCAAAGACGACGGACAGGGGGTCTCGCCGACGAAGAGCTAGTTTGTGCTTACTAATACGGGCACCCATGCGTCAATTCGTTTTCGAAACAAAAGCCGTATATTTTCCGCGTTAGAAAGTCATACGTTTCTCTACGGTATTAAGAGGAGACAATATGAGGTTCTTAAAATTTAGTAGTGGATTTGAGCTCTATTGCTATCTTTACAAGCCACATTGGTAAATTTGGAGACACGGCATTTTATGAACGGCCATTTCATGGTATTAAAAAGTCTCATAAATAACAAACTTGCTGAAGACGAATTATACTCCTCCTTCGAGTATTACATTGAAATAAGACGTAAAATTCTATGAAATGAACAGAAAATGAATAGTTTGATTAATTTCCTTCATGAACTATAATTATATGTTAAGGGTATCGAAAATAAATGAGCAAATTTCATGCTAATTATGTGGTTACGTTTTTAGACTATAATTCTTGCATGCGGTCGAAAATGAGTTCGTTCGAAGGTAGACACTCTTTGTTACCTGGATTATTACAGAACTGTGCTGGATAATGATTAATTTAATAACCATACTTAATGAATCTTTTCAAAACGAGAACGCATTTCGGAATTTCGGCCAACATTTCATGAGCTAGTCCACTTACTGCATTTGCAGATACTGAGGCTTCGTGACTGGCCGAAGGGATAACCTCCTGTGATAGGTGTGGGTGCAGCCACCAAAAATAGTAAGCAGCCTGTCTGCGCGCGCCAAACACGGCCCATTCGGCGACATTTCACACACGGGTGTGAGCGCCATAGAGTTTTCGTTCTACTATTTTTTTAGAAGTTGTTGAGATGAAGTAAGAACATTTCTTTGACAGTTACACTGCTTGTGATGCTTTAATGTTGCCGGTGTTATATGACCTGGGTTGTGGGTTGGTCATGTCAATATTGTAATCGAATTGGATGTGCCAGCTAAGATAAAGCTGCGTATCCAGTGTCAGTTCGCAATGCAAACACTCGACGACCGCCGGAGTGTTTCAGAACTTAACCCCCACCCCCAAGACTATAATCTTATTTCATCATGTAGGCTGCTGTTAGACCTATTTCGAGAATGACTGCCCCAGGTTTATCTCCGGCCTACGACCCAGCTCCATATATTTATTTCTTCAAGTGTTTTTGAGACAGTTAGACTGTCCATGGTACAGGCCAGTGTTTCATTGTAATTTTTGATAATTTATCAGAGGCGCCCATGACATCCAAATATAAAAATGGTACGCTTTATTTATTTGAGCTCAATTGAAAAAAACACCTGGGGACCTCGGTGGGATTCTATTCCACGTCAGCAAGGGGAATACCTTCGTGCGGCACGCCCCCCCCCGGTCGCGAGATTTTTCAAAGTTGGGTCAACGTGAATTATTCAAAATGTGCCAAAACACTCACTAGATACAGCAGATCTCGTCTCAGTCACTGGTTCGATGCACCTTGTAGGAACAAGTAGGATGTTGCAGAGGCCGGTACACTTTTTCGAATATTGGCATTGTTTCATGTAGTCTCCGGAGTGCACAATCTGTTAAACGAAGAACTCTGAACTCCTGACATGTATTTTACTGACTGAGATGTATATCATTAATTACCCTATTTGCAGTGCTCGACGATCTCCGCTTACGGCTATGGTTAAATGACGGTTTCCTTGTCAACTGTAGGTAAGGGTTTATATTGGAAACCCTGTACATTTGCGGTTGTCCTGGCAGTTGATGCACTAAGATCAATCCCTTCCGAAGTTCTCGGAAGCTGCTGTTACAGGACCTCAACCCTCGTCCGTAGCCTTATTGTCAGACACCTGGTGTGTAGTGATCATCGTCCCTTACTGAGGGGGGTGATTGAGGACCATATTTTTGGGTACACTTTTGGGGGCTGTCTTGCAGGTTTTGACGACCTTTGCCTCAGTCTAAGCAGCAGAGTTGAAACTGAAATTTTTTTTTAATAAATCTTGTTTTCCTCAGGTCTGCAACCTCAAACTCCTGTCAGCCGTAACCCTAAAAGTCAGAAGTCTCTAAAATTTCCCCGTGCCATACTAAAGTCCTTGGAGCAGTTTTTTTGCCTCTGTAAGCTGGAGATATTTTTCAGGTATATCGTGTTCAGTTGACTTGGGTAGGAGCTTTTTAAGAACTACGCAGGGGTCCAGGATAACGGTCTGTCAAAATATTTTCCTTTTTTGCATCAATTCCAGATTAGGTTTCATCTGTCATTTTTATTCAACGATCGACTCATTTAAATTTTAAGAATTCAATCCTGCACTCATGCCTGCTTGATCCAATAAATTCCCCATTGTCGTAACTGGCAGCTAACGAAAATTGAGTACGCATTTCACCACTAAGGGTGTTATTTGTTGGGTTACCCAGCAATCACAAGGGGTCCGGGAAATTATGCAAGGACACATTAGGCCAAATCGCCGTACCTGTAGCGACTAATTAAATTAAAATCATGTCGCGTGCACAGTTGACGTTTTTTTATATAAGGCCTCTGTGATGATTAACAACTTTCGATATAAAATGAGGCAACGTTCAACACAAGCAACTTACCCGTAGTCAAACTATAACTTAGAAACACTTCCTTTTCCGTTGTGAGCGGGAGGATATTCCCACATATGAGGGCACAAGGGTAGATTTCGTTAATGGGTGTTTTGCATGTGTAAAGCAAAATGTTTAGAGCGAAATGATCCAGTTACATTCTTGATCTGCCATGAAACGCAGTCATCCTTTGCATCCAGCACTAAATACCAAATACTGCACATTACTATATATGGCCAAATAGGTAACCTAGGTATGCATTTGACTTACATTCTGCTGACTCATTCAGCATACTTACGGAATATTTTGTAAGTAAATCGTCAAAATGAAATGTGTGCTCGATCCCTGAATTTCCGTCAGTGTGCTTACTCTTTTCCCAAAAACTTCATTTCCATTCAAGCATTGATTTCGTTTTGACTTTGAACTGGCTAGTGTGTGTTAATCTCAGTGAATAAAAGTATTCTTAGGTAGTTAAGAATAAAATTTATTAGCATCGTTGATCTGAATCTCTTCCAATTTGCTTAATGCAAATTCGGTTCAGTCCTCGACTCCTCATCGCAGTCTTTTGTCAGTGTATCCAAGTGGCCACCTTAAAAGAGCCATTTAATGCTCTGTCTCGGGAAGCAAGTAGCTGTTAGAATAAACGGCCGTTAACTCTAAAATAAGACGTCACAAAGTGATTCAAGTGCGTTTACCTGAGCGTCACTTGACGGGATGCGATTCAAAGGTAGAATGTTTGACATTGTTGACCGAAATTAGGGAAACACGAGATGTGCACAAATTTTTCAAAAAACCTAACGCTTTTGGAGACGGATCCAAATGGTCAAAACACCCAAGTAATAATAGATGATCTTAATTGTAATCAAAATTAAAATGAAATATTTACAGTTTTCGGAGATGCGGAAAACGCAGAAAATCCTGTCTAGTATGCAAATGGAAGTTTTACAACACGGGGATGCACTACTTCGCGTCTCTCTACTCTTCTTCTATCCCCCGCCCTCCATCCGTTGTGGTACTACGACAATGTCGTAGGCACGCTAACTCGGGTCCTTCCACGACTAAGCAAAAGCCGTCGCCCAAAGTGGAGTTCGGCAGCCGTCTGGGACAACTGAGCTGCCCTATATATAAGGACGGCGCTGCTCCCTCCTGCGAGAGGCCAGAGACTAGAAAAGGTCCTCTTAACAAATGCTGGGGATCTACGCCCGTCTGCAATCTGGTCGTGACCGCAGACGCAAAACGCACGGTCGAAACAACCAAATTCGAAACACCATTCTCTCACTCTCTATTTTCCCTCTCCTGCCCGCCGACCCGCTCGCCAGACTGGTAGGGTGAGTCCACTCACCCTGGCAGCCTGGAATGTTCGTTCGTCTTTAGACAATCCGAAGAGCCACCGACTGGAACGAGAGAGAGCGCTGGTGCCTCAGGAACTGGCGCAACACAAGGTGGACATGGCTGCACTCAAGGAGACCCAGTCCTCCGACGAAGGCCAACTGGAGGAGGTTAGTGCCGGCTGCACCTTTTCTGGAGCAACTACACGCGGGGTCGCATTTGGCATTCAAAACGACATTGTGGAACAACTTCCTGGTTTGCTGCATTGTATCAAAGATGGCCTTATAAGCCCCCGCCTGCCTCTTCGAGAAGGCAAATTCGCTACCATCGTCAGCGTCTACGCTCCCCCGATGATCAGCCCTGACACTGCAAGGAACGAATTTTACGAGGAGCTGTACGCCCTTTTAGCGACTGCGCCAAAGGCAGACTTGATGACTTAAGTGTCCGCGCCAGCACAGAGCATGCTGCGCGGAGAAGAGTGCTGGGTCACCATAGTCTCCATGACCCCAACGACACTGACCTGCGGCGAACATCGACGCATCATGACCAACATCTACTTCCGTTCCCCAATGCGAGATAAGGCTACTTGGATTCATCGTTGGTCGCGATAATGGCACCCGCTAGACTATGTCCTCGTCCGGAGGCGAGATTACTGGGGCGTCCTTCTGGAAAAGGCGAATCTCGGTGCCGACGGGTGGACCGACAATTTTCACGTCCTCTTCAAGATGCGGATTCGTCTTGAGCTTCGTGGGAGACCACAAGGTAACCGACCCTGCGGCAAGCTGAATATTGCTTCGTTGTCTTTGCCTGCTTACCATCTCCACTTCGGCAGCGAGCTATCTCGACGTCTAGCCAACCTTCCAGTCGCTGTTGCTGCAGGTGCCGCTGACGAGAACGCCTCCGTTGAGAACCGATGGTGTCACCTGCAGGACACAGTCCAGTGAACGGCCCTGGCTGTCCTCGGTCACGCACGACGCTAACACCAGGACTGGTTTGATAGCAACGACGCCGCGATCAGCGACCTACTCGCCGAGAAGAATCTCCTGTATAAAGCCTACGTCGACCGCGCCACCGTCGACAGCAACTCAGCATTTTACCGTAGTCGTCGCCTTGTGCAACAGAAGCTGCGCGAAATGCAGGACGTTGGACGGCTCGCAAGGCCGGGAGATCCAAGGGTACGCCTACCGCAACGAGTAGAAGAACTCCTTCGCCGTGATCAAGGTCGTCTACGATCCGCAACCCAAAGATACTGCACATCTTCCCAGCGCCGACAGCAGTATCCTACTCATTGAAAAGACAAATTATACAACAATGGGCCAAGAACTTCAGAGGCGTCTTCAACCTTCCCTCAACCATCTCCGACGCCACCATCACCCGTCTACTTAAATTGGGGACCAACGGCGACCACGACCTCCGTCCTGCTCTTCACGAAACCATCAGGTCTCTAAAGCAACTGCCCAGTATGAAAGCTCCCGAATCCGACGCGATTTTTGCTGACATCTACAAGCACGGTGACTCCTAACTCTTGGATCATCTGACGGCGCTCTTCCAGGAGATGTGGTGTCGAGGGGGAAGTCCCGCACGCCACAATCCTGCACCTAAACAAGGAAAAAAAGGAAGCCGTCAGGTCTGCCACAACCATGGAGGCATTTCCATGCTGAAAATCGCCGGAAAAATCTTCGGTCGCCTTCATTTCAAACGCCTGAGCCACCATCTGGAGCAATGTCCCCTTGCTTAAGGATAGTGCGGTTTCTACCCTCCTGGTGGGACCGCTGACATGATCTTCGCCGCCCGTCAACTGCAGGAGAAGTGTCAGAAGATGAGGGCCCACCCGTACTCTACCTTCGTGGATCTGATGAAAGTCTTCAAGACGCTGAATTGCAAACGACTATGGAAAATTATGCAGAAAATCGGCTGTCCCGAGCGACTCACTCGGATGGTGCGTCAGCTCCACGATGGCATGGTGGCGCGCGTCACGGACAACGGAGCTGCCTCAGAGACATTCGCAGTAACCGACGGAATGAAGGAGGGCTGCGTCTTTGTGCCTATCCTATTTGATCTCATGTTCTCTGCCGTGGTGATGGAAGCCTACCATGCTGAACGTCCTGGGACCCGCGTCGTCTATAGGACGGATGGCCAACTCGTCAACCACTGGCGAATGCGCTTTCGGTCGCGAGCATCCACAACTACCCCCCCCCATGAATTTCACTTCGCCGACGACTGCGCCTTAAACGCTACCTCGGAAGGGGACGTGCAAAGGATCATGGATGTATTCGCCACCGCCGCCGGCGACATCTGTCACACTGGCCACCTATATTCACCTCATACATCGGCTTGGTCGATCACTTGCAAATTTATCGCACAGGGTTTGGCCAATTAGTGCCTGGAGCACCCACATACGCTCACCACATCCGACTCAACTGCC